AAGTACACAATTTTTAAACTACTCAAAAAAGTACAATTACTGATAAAAACTACTTAATTACTGTAACGTGAGTATTTGTAATTCGTTACTTCACACCCTTGGTTTTAAAGCAGGTTTGATTTTTTTTTCTTCCTTATCACTCTGTATTTACAGCAATTTCACTGTCCACTCTGTTCAAATGTGGATGAATGGCTACACATAGATGTTGTCACACACTGTCAGAGCTGAAGTGAGCATCCTTATGCCCTACTCCCTTCGAAGGGCAGAGCTATCTAACAACCACGTTTGTCTTAATTATCAACAGTATTTTTTAAAAATCATTTTAAACCTGCACTTATGTTTGTAAATATGTTTTGCTCGTGCTCTTTTTTTATTTTTTTTTATTTTTTTTATTAACGTGTGCTATCTTTCTAAAATAATATTGTGTTGTGATGACTCGTTACTGACTATTTGTTCACAGTTCTTCATGTGACAGTTTAACAGGAGAGGACTTCGTTGGCTGTGATTTCTGTAGCTCAAACAGTAGCGCACGATGCCAGCAACGCCAAAGTCCTGGGTTCGAGTCTCAGGTAATGCAAGAATGAATACAATGCAAGCAGCTTAGGATAAAATCGTCTGCCAAGTGCATTAATGTAATATAATGAGTATCAGTTCGATGAGGTTTTATTCTATCTTTAAACACTCACAGGGAATAGAGGGGTCGGCTGGACGGAGGATGGAGGGAGATTTTCTCCTTTACCGATTCCAACAATCTCCACAGAGAAAGTGAGCTGCCCTCTGCCCCTTCCTGCCATTATCTGAGACACAATCACCACACATCACATTATTAATCATACATCTGATATAGCCTATTTATTTCATATTCCATTTATATCATATCGAATTCCGCTGCAAAAATAGACATTAAGACCAAACTGATTTAAATATTTTACATAGTGTAGATATTGTTTGCTAAATATGTTTTTATTTAATTATGTATTTAAGACCGAAATGTAATATTTAAACACGCTTCGCTCACTCACAGACAAAAAAGCGATGAAATCCCTCTTTATTTATAACTTCATTTCATTGTGCAAAGCATTTATTAGATAATCCGTAAATATTACATGCAGTTGGTTTTCATGGAAATTCAGGTTTTATTGTTGTAGAATTGAGCAGTAAAATCAACCGCCAATGCATGTTTGTTTTGCCCGCTGCGGAAAATGTTCCTTCCAGAAACGAGCGCGCGTTCACTTATGGTTCCGCTTCTGTCTGACGTTAAATTAAATCAATCCTAATCAAAATGAGTCATGCAGAACGAACAACTCAATTTAAAAAAAAAAAGTGAACAGCTCTGATGGAGGATCAAATGCAAAACCATTTTTTTCATCTGCATTATGCAAGGGCTGATTTGTTAAAACTAACAAATTTTATACAGTACGTTTCTTCGTTTTACTAATGATCTTTAAAAAAGCATCATATGACCCCTTTAATATATTTTATGCCTTTCAATTATATTGCTATAAATATGACTTTTCATCCTTGTTCCTTCACCCGCTTCCCATCGTAAAAAACAAACAAACAAACAAACAAAGGCAACAACATAAATATATTAATTATTATTAATTATTACTACAACTATTTATTACTTTGAAACTATGGTTATCTTTAAAAAAAAAAGATTGCATTATTTACTAAAAAACTGGATGAAATTAATTTTTTGTTCATCCTACAGATGTTTCTATCATGTCCAACAATTTTGCCTCAAAAATAAAGTTTTCTCCAGAGTTAATGTACTTTGCTACCAGGGACACAAAAGTGTTGGGGAAATGCATTATTGTCATTAAATATGAGGCATGTTATGTGTAAAGAAAAATTAGATTAAACATTGCGTTGTGCATCAAGAATTTTGTCAAACTGTGAAGAAAAAGTGTGAAAATATTATTTAAATGTGTTTATTTATGATACATAAAATTTAGCTATAAAATACCTTAGCACGTCACCCATTTTATTTTAAAATGTTTAAAATGACATTTTAGAATAGTATCAAACACAAATATTTGAAATGTGTGTTCATGACATTTCAGAAAAAATGTGTTGCATGTGTATGATTGGACTTTTTTTATTAGACAAAAGTAATTAACTAATGGGAGTGAAAAAAGTTTTTTTTTAAAGTTTATTTTCTAAAAGTAGATTCTAAAAGTCCCATATTCATCACAACAGTTCCATTCTAATCTGTGCTGACGAAGCTGCTCGCAGCACTGAAATGCTTTTCTAGAAAACCTGAAAACAGTTCAAATTCAGCTAAATCTGCATTTGTTAAAAAAGAGAAAAAAATAATGAAAGGAAAACTAACTGTGATATTGCTGACTCACAGCCTCCCCCGTCAAAATCAGAAAATATGTGAGTATGAGAGACAGAAATTAGGCATGAGCTCATTTCAATAAGGTAAACTCATTTTAACAAAACACAACATAAAACCTCTCTCTCTCTCTCTCTCTCTCTTTCTCTCTCCTGCAGCATGTGCATGTCACTGTGGGAATGCTTCTGTCGGAATCCACTGAATCAGTTGCCATAGAAACTGTGTTCAATAATAGCTATAGTCACTGAATTAGTATTTATGCAGTCTGAGAATTGTTTCACACCCCCTGCTTTCTTGCAGAGAGGGCCTTGATATATATTCAGCCCCAAAAATGAAAAATAAAAAAGGCAAGCAAAAATCCAGATTTATGTTGAGGGAGAATATGCACCTCTGCAAATGTGTGTTAAGTGCATTTTAGCATTGACCTAATACATGCCATCTTTACTCTGCAAAGCCGGCACACAGGTTGCATACTGTACATGCATTTACACAGATTGCACAAATATATCATTAAAGTACTTCAAAGATAAAATTATGAATAAAAAAGATTCTAAAATAAATGCTCTGTCATGACAACAAGGCTGCACAAATGCTGCATAATTTACATTCATCACTGGGTGCTTAAGTGGGTCAAGGCTGGCATATTTTATATTTTTGCATGGGTTTAATGCGCCATTGTGTCTTTATGCAGAATTTAGAGCAGGCACAGAGCCTGCTCAGAGCAGCCTTAACTTGACTATGTAAAGCACTTGCACACATTGCTTAAATGTTATCATGCATCAAATCACAGCATGTAAAATTTGGTCTATTTCTTAGACAAGACTATTATTATTATTATTAATATTGTTGTTGTTGTTGTTATGGTAAACTCATTGAAATGTTCTGCATCAAATTGTATTCTCTGCATCTGCTTGTGAGAAACAGCACACCATGGCACACAAATGCAGGGGTGCATCAGAAAACCAGGGATAAACTTAAAATGATCAAAGAATTAAAATAATTGAATAAGTTTCCCCCTAGTGGAAAGCAGAGATGGTCATGTGCATGTGAACAGTCAGTGGTTTGCTCGGTGAAGCTGGACCTCAGTGCGTCTGTGCGTGATCGTGGGAGCCTCGCATCAGCTCACTGCCCACTCCATGCCCCCGCAGAGTCTCCCAAACTCTCGGTCGCAGGAGGAGAGATGATGTGGGGGATGTAAGACACGGGGATCAGCAGACAGCAGCTGGATTCTCGGGCTAAAATCAGCCGCTCTGATGGAGTGAAGACAGCAGATACACGGTGAGCCTCTCTCGAGATACTCTCCTGCAAATGTTGCTTTCAAAATGCTCTTCGTGTTTAGGATAACATTTACTGTTATTATAATTATTATTATTTCATTTATATTTTGTATTATTCTCAGCTGAGCATGGCCATAATTAAGCAGACTTCAGTCCTTCATATTGCAGCGATAGCTTAACATTCCATTGCACTGTCTTTCTTATTATTTACATTTCAAACCACTTTTATAGAGCGATTTTCGAGTCGTTCGATGTTGTGAAGCATGCAAACGATCATTTTTTGCTGGCATGTGCGCTGATCAGAAATGGTTGCTGGCTGCTCGTTTGGTGTGAGTTGTTGAAGCTAAAAGCAAATGTTTTATTGGAGGAACGATGTGCATGTGGCTGCAGCTGTTCATAAGGCTTTATGAACGTTCGTTGCGAATTCATGCACCGCAATTCGGATTCTCAGTTACACTGAATATCTGCTGGCATTTCCTAAAAGGATCTCTGAAGATTTGCTGGATGTCTAAAGGAGAAGGTTTAAGATTGATGTATATGCTCCTGTAATGTTCATTGTCTCACTTCGCAAAAACTTAAAATATGAGCGTTTCTGTGGCGATTGCTGCTCGTTTGCTGTAACGGAGGCTTGAAGTGTGTGTCTGCTGTTTGGAAGTTCATTTGTGGACACTGAAGCTTTGCGTCAGGCAGAGAGCTGACGTGAATAGACACCAAATTTGATGCTTCAAGACTAAAAATAGTCCTGAGCTGAAGATATTTGCAGCTGGCGGTGTGAATCGAGTCTGTAACGCATCAAAATCTATAACTGCTCCGTTTTGCGAATGGCGTTCAGCACCGCGGACAGCGACATATAATCAGCATTTACTCGTTTGATTTGAGTAATATTTCCACTTGTAGAATCAAAACATGAGAATATATTATATTGGTTATATTAGGAGGAAATAATACCATTGTGCTGCAATAATGATGCTATTGGCAAGGTTTTTGAACATAGCAATGGCAATACCATGTTTTTGGACATGTAGTTTTTTTGAAGCACTATTTAAATACCATGCCACATTCTTTTAGTATAAGGTATGAAGGAGATTCTTTCTAAAAATACAAAAAGATGCCTCAGTCACACTTCACTCCACAAAAAAAATTGTATTTTGCGTTTAGAAAATTAAGCCTATTTTTAAAACGATTAAGAATGTTGATTTTCTTGACAGTTACATTTTACACCCAAGTGCTCATTATAAAATACTGTCATGTGAAAATTCATCATGCTATTGGATTATTTGTTGCATGATTTGATTTTTTTAATAAAATAATTGAAGCTTTTTTTTTGGTTTTGTTTTAAAAAAAGCATTGTATATCATTATTTTTAAACATGCTATTTTACAGTAAAGAAAAATGTCAAGGATTTTTAAACTATTTATTCATCATGCTAGTAGATTATTTGTTTATTATCCTTAATTTTTTATAAAAACAATTTAACTTTCTTCTTTGAAAAAAGCATAGTATAACTTTTTAAGCATAGTATAACTTGTAATATAATTTTTTACTGTATGACAGTACAAAAATGCTATTTTACAGTAATGAAAAATATCAAGAAAGAGTAATTGGAACAATAAGAGAGACATAATCAGATGTATTATTTGTCCTAAAAACAATATCACAATGGAAAAAACGAATGTAATGATCCTAAATGCAAGACGTATCCCCTATATGCTGGACAGTATAAAAATCATCAGATTTCTGCATTGATCACATGAAGTTGCTTTTTCTGTTTGCATAAAACCATATTTTATTTCTGACATCTGCAGTTCGAGGGCAAAGAAGAATGCATTGGAATGCTGTTGTTTGCAGTTATGTGAAAGGAGACGCACAGATTGCCATCGAATTGGAGGAGAATTCATTCTCATCTCTGTAAATCACTGAACACTCAGTCTAGTCGAGTCAAGTGGTTTTGTTGTCATTCATCTCATTACAGACCAAGTGTAGGAGAAAAACGAACTTGCCACGACATGAGTGGCATTGAAAATGACAGCAAGACCTAAACATGCCACAGTAAACGATATGGATTAAACACACGGCAGTTCAGAAAACGTGTCGGGAACGCTTAGGACATTTAATATGAAGGAGATAATCTCATTGCCCCTCTGCAGGATGGTTCTCTTTGAAGCTGCCAATGTGAGTGATGAATTGCCTCAGCGGTTCTGATGCGACTGGGTCAAAGGGTCATCGGTGCACCGCTGATGGATGCTGTTCTCTCAGCTGCTGTAAAGGTGATTGCACCTGCCTCGATCCGTGTGATCTAATGAGGCAAACAGTGGCTCAAAGGCACCGTGGCGCTCTTGGTGGGGTGAGAACGCTTGACTGCGCAGCCCCTTCTGGTCACGGGCCCCCTCGTGCAACCTCAGATGCAGCCTTGAGTCACACACACACTGCTGTTACGTAAAACAGAAAGCCAGGGGTGGGGGCTCTCAGAGGCGTGAGAATGAAGACATGATATTCATTTCCATCATCTGTCGGGAGAGCATAGAGAATTAGATATGACTTGTCCCGACAAGACAGCTCGGTACGTCGCCTCCCTCCTCCGGTGCGGCGCTGAAACGCAGACCCTCTCCAAGTGCTCTTCAACATGCTGCAAAATTGGCAAGTTTATTTTGGTCATGTCGAACGACTCTCCACTACACTGATCTGTACACACTCAAAGATCCATAGAGCAAAGGCTTTGTTCAGATGGCACATAAATCCGATTTATCTATCAGATTCAATCTTGGGAGCTGTCTGCTTGTCTGTCAGTTTTCAAGTGATTAAAATTGGATGCGCTTGTTCAAACAGCGAAGGCAATATCTGATATATTTACACATACACCAAATATTGACTGGTCATCTTGACATCCTTCAATACATAATGGATGCAAGAAAAAATGAGTCAAGTCACCTTTATTCCTATAGCGCTTTATACATAGATTGTCAAAGCAGCTTCACGGTGATAAACAGGAAAATAAGAGAATCAATTATGGAAGCTCATAGGGCTACATGATAAATTATATCAATCAATAAATCCATAAATCTCATTTTTAATTTCTCTCAATTTATTAACGGCAGTTCAGAAAACGTGTCGGGAACACTTAGGACATTTAATATGAAGGAGATAATCTCATTGCCCCTCTGCAGGATGGTTCTCTTTGAAGCTGCCAATGTGAGTGATGAATTGCCTCAGCGGTTCTGATGCGACTGGGTCAAAGGGTCATCGGTGCACCGCTGATGGATGCTGTTCTCTCAGCTGCTGTAAAGGTGATTGCACCTGCCTCGATCCGTGTGATCTAATGAGGCAAACAGTGGCTCAAAGGCACCGTGGCGCTCTTGGTGGGGTGAGAACGCTTGACTGCGCAGCCCCTTCTGGTCACGGGCCCCCTCGTGCAACCTCAGATGCAGCCTTGAGTCACACACACACTGCTGTTACGTAAAACAGAAAGCCAGGGGTGGGGGCTCTCAGAGGCGTGAGAATGAAGACATGATATTCATTTCCATCATCTGTCGGGAGAGCATAGAGAATTAGATATGACTTGTCCCGACAAGACAGCTCGGTACGTCGCCTCCCTCCTCCGGTGCGGCGCTGAAACGCAGACCCTCTCCAAGTGCTCTTCAACATGCTGCAAAATTGGCAAGTTTATTTTGGTCATGTCGAACGACTCTCCACTACACTGATCTGTACACACTCAAAGATCCATAGAGCAAAGGCTTTGTTCAGATGGCACATAAATCCGATTTATCTATCAGATTCAATCTTGGGAGCTGTCTGCTTGTCTGTCAGTTTTCAAGTGATTAAAATTGGATGCGCATGTTCAAACAGCGAAGGCAATATCTGATATATTTACACATACACCAAATATTGACTGGTCATCTTGACATCCTTCAATACATAATGGATGCAAGAAAAAATTAGTCAAGTCACCTTTATTCCTATAGCGCTTTATACATAGATTGTCAAAGCAGCTTCACAGTGATAAACAGGAAAATAAGAGAATCAATTATGGAAGCTCATAGGGCTACATGATAAATTATATCAATCAATAAATCCATAAATCTCATTTTTAATTTCTCTCAATTTATTAAGCATAATTGTCTACAATATTTTCCCGCTGGTTATTTATCCTGAGTAAATTCAGACACAGTTGCAGACAAGTACACTCTTAAATATAAAGGTTCTTTATTGGCATCAATATTGGCATGAAGAACCTTTAACATCTATAGAACGCTGCCATTGCACAAAAGTTTCTTTTAGTGGAAAAAGTAAAACAATCACACTAGTAAAAAATGGTTCTTTTATCACTTAAAAATACCTAACCAAAAATGGTTCTTCTGTGGCATCACTTTTTGAACCTTTATTTATTTTTAAAAATGTATTAAAATCCAATTGAATGAAATCTACTTTCATAAATATGCCTTTAAATCTTTAATCTTTTATTTAAAGATATCTATTTAATCTTTAATCATTTATTTGGTTTGGATTAGGTCTGTAAAATAATTATTCCATGTTTTTTTTGTGCTGTTCAAGCTACAAAAAAATGAAAGAGATTTGGAGTTGGAAATACTGCTCGTCTGAACAAAGCCACAGAAATGTTGACATGATTGAAAGATGATGACAGTTGTTTGTCCACCTGTATGAATTGAAAGAGAGTGGAAAAGGTAAGTATGGCATCTTCATTATGTCATGTGTGACATAACATCCATTTTGGAGTTACACAACTGAAGAATCAGACATCTGTAATGTTTTTTTTTTTTTCCAAGCAGGTCTTGTTCCGTTTAGCACCAAGACCTCTATTTTGAAGTCCTTTTACGCTTGTGTTTTGTGGGGTCAAAGACAAAACTGATCAAATTGATATCTTTAATGCAACATAAGTCACTTTGCAAAAAAGCATCTGGCAAATGTAATGTTCACAGTCCCTCCCTGAATTGTACCAGGTGTTGCTTGTTTAATCAGTCTTTGTATAAATAACCCTTGTGGTCC